GCTGAATATGTGCACATTCGGTCCCGGAACAGAGAGCGCATTGCAGAGCCTGTGAGATGCTGACAGCAGGCTGCTGCTGGGGGTGGACGCAAAGCTGAGACTGTGAAATTTTGTATCCAACTTCTTTATTTTCTAATTTTTTTTTAAACATTTGGAAAGAGGCGTGTTGCGGGCATGGGCATGTGTGTTCTGAAAGTGCAGTGCTCACAGCCTGCAGACCACGGTTCCTGGAAAGCAGCTGTCTCGTCAGCCAAGTGCTGATGAACTGCCCTGGGAACGCAGAGGGATCAAGTCCTATTGCTCCCCCGTCCCCTCCCTCCTGCTCTTGCTCCCCGGGGCTGAGCGTGGCTGTGCCTGGCTGTGCAGTGCTGGTGACCTCTAGTGACAAGCTGGTGTCTGCTGGGAGCTGGCTGGGCCTCCCCAGCCTGGCCTGGCGCTGGTTTTCGGGCTCCGGGGCAGTTCCTGGCCGGGCATTGCTTGCTGTCACTGAGTGGGAGCCTGGGTGCTGTGCTGGTCCTGGGACTGAGATATTGCTGTTTCACTGTAAAATGTAAGTTAAATAGCGATACGTATGCACCTATGTTATCTATCCTGAGAAACACTAATCCTAGGTAATTAGCCTGATTATTAAGTTGCATGACTAGAGATAATAATGTCCACAGGATCTGGTGCTCTGCAGTGGCTGGAGCCAGTGGTGCTGGGGGAGCAGCGCACTGCAGGATGACGGGGCCTGGAAGGGAAAAGCACCGGTCTTGGGGACTGATGTTTTTCCCACCCCTACCCCCCCCTCCTTTTTCTTCTTCAGAGAGAAGGTGACAGGGGAGAGGAGATCCTGAGTGCTAGCGGGGAGCTGCAGGAAGGCTTGCCAATAGTGTGCCGTGTTGGCCGGGTGCCCCTGTGCAGCGCAGAGATGGCTCCAGCTCTGGCACTACCCGGCTGGGCAGAGGGCACCGCTTCAGGTGGATGCTCATCATGTGGCTGTGAACATCCCCTTCCTCATCTCCCCCAGCTCCATTTTATGTCCAGCCTTTGCCCTCTGCCTCCTTTCTGGGGAAAGCCCTGAATTTTAGGACTCCCTCCCTTATTTCTAGGTAGCCCGTCCCCCTGTCACCCCCCTGCAGTTATGTTTCCTCCCCCAGGGGAGGGAGAGGCTTTTTAGTCTCCTCCCCTTATTTTGCCCCAGTCAAACCAAAGTGGTTTCCTCCCCCAGGGCAGGAGTGCTACAGCTGTGCCTGTGCCATGGACGGGTGTTGCTGCCCTAGGGATGGATCAGAAAGAGTGGGGAGGGCAGGGATTATTGGAATGAAATTTACGGAGCAAAAAACTACTGTAAATATCTTTTGTTTGTTCTTCTATTGTCAAATAAAAGTTTTTTTAGTTTTGGGTTTTTTTTTTAAATACGAGCTGTGTGTTAAGACTGGACTCTGTCATTTGTGGGTGGCTCCCTTGCTCCTCCCTCACCACCACCTCCTGACTCTCAGCCAAAGCAGCTTAAGAGGTCTAAGGAGCATTGCTGGATGTGGAAAAAAAAGGGGTCAGTGCCTGGCACGGGCCTGCACCTACGCCACCATCATTTGCTCTGACAGCCATTACGTGCTTGCTTCCCACAGCATTTGATCTTAGTGTCTGGGAGCCAGAAAGCATTTGGTGCCAGCAGAGGGCTGATGCATTTGTGTCTTCCCTCCTCCTGGCCAGCATTGGAAAAGTAAGACAGCATCACTGCTAGTCCCTTGGCAAAGGAAAAAAGAAACAATCTTGGTAGGGCTCCACTGCACACAGTTTTGTAGGTCAAAAACTCTGTGAGGTGGGCAGGGGTCTTGAAGACCTGCTCCTGGAGGAGTAGCCCCAGCCAGCCTTGCTCTGCCACAGAGGGCAGGGACACGGACCCAAAGGCTGCTGCACCACTGGCATGGATGCTGGCAGCACGGGCACTGCAGCAAGGCTGGGCTCTGGGCTGCTGTGCCTGCCCCTGTGCTGCCCCAGGGGCTTGGCCAGCATCTTGCACGCACTAGGAGTGTGCACACTGATACTTCATCTGCTAGTGTCTTCCACACACATCAGTTCAGGGCTGCAGTCTTTGTGCCAGCTTGATGCCCTGCCTACCTCGAGACAGATACCTGCTCCCTACCATAGCAGGGGCTGGAGTGGGGGGCTAGCACCAGTTAAAGCCCTTTGCAGCCCCCTCGCCCCTGGCTTCCTGTGTTGTAGGGTGACCCCCAGGGGCTCTGCACCCCTGCGGCACTGGGCAGGGGCTGTGGAAGGATGGAGGCACCCGGCCTCCAGCCAGGCCTCACTCATGCAGCTCCAGAGAAACCCCTGGGCAGCTCTTGTGACAGCAATAGCAACAGGGCGTCCCCCACCCTGCATGGGCTGCTGGTGCTTTGTGCTCCTGGCGAGGAATGCAGGCTGGGACACCTGGGAGGACTGGGGTGCCTGTGGGGCTGGAGCCAGGACTCAGCCAGGGCAGGGGATTGCCAGCCCAACTTGGGGGAGGGCTGGCCTGCGCAGCAACAGCAGGTCATGGC